TTAACCACTACACCAAACTGTCTCAGGTGGCTGGCCGTGTTGGTCTGAAGCAGCCGAACAAAGTTTGAGTCCAGTGGCACCTTTAAGACCAACAGAGTTTTATTCAAAGTGGAAGCTTTCGTGTGCAAAGCACACTTCTTCAGACAAATTGGAATAAAATAGGGCTACTTACAGGAAAGGGGGGGGGCAGCCATTAGGGAGGGGCCACAGAGCTGAGATGCATATGCAGAGCTGAAATTGGATCAGGTGGCCAGTAAGATCAGTGGATGACAGCAAATTAGCACATAAATGCAAGAGTTAACAAAGGGATGTGCGAATGAAGCTAGAGTCCGGCGGCACCCCCAAGACAAACCAAACTCAACCCTGTGTACATGCGAGAACAGAGACTCAGCGTGTTCACGCTTCTTCACACACATACGTACATTGGAACAGAATTCCTTGAAAAAGTAACCAGTGCTGTTCCACAATAGGGATATGTGGCTTAGTGAGCATTTATGTGATTACATCATGTAAAATTTGGATGGCGAGTGAAATGTTTAAAACGCTCTAGATTTGACTACTTACTAAACCGGGATAGTTCTTAATAAACTAAGATTCATTTCAAAGGCTTGACAAAGAAATGGAGAATCCTGACGGGAGAGGTGGGTGGGATTTACATATTTATCTTTCCCCCACCATTCTTACAGGCCGTATTTGTGTCACTAATCATGACAGATCGCGTGAGCATAAACACAGACTTGCAGGAAGACATAAGAAAGGTTTGGCGGCCTTTAAAAGGATGCTGACTAGCGCTAGGGGGCGCCAGAGAGGGGTCCGGATGAGTGTCCTGGGGAGTGGTCATGTGCCACCTTGATGCCACCACTGAAAAGGCCCTGCCATGCATTGTGGCCTGCCTGGCAAAGCATGGGCCGTGCTAGCTGATCTCTAGATCTGGGGGTCATCTTATCTCATGGGAAACGACGAGCGGAACTTGGAGCACATCTGGCGCATCTGTCCCGTGTGCTTTGTGCAAGGCAAGCAACAGGGCGGCTTTCCAGATCCCACATCACCAGGGCTATTTTTGGGCAGGAACGCACAGGAATGGAGTTCCGGCTGGCTCCCAAGTTAGCCACACCCAGCAGGAACTCATTAGCATAATAGGCCACACCCAAAAGCAGAAACTCATTAGGATTGGCTCCATTAGGGGTGTGTGGCCTAACATGCAAAGGAGTTCCTGCTACAAAAATGGCCCTGGGTTTTGACAACAAATAAGGTAAACAGAATAAAAAGCAAAAGGTGGGTGTGGCTGGATAACCACACTTCTGGTAACGTGGGGGTGCGGCCTAATGTGCTAATGAGCTGTGCAGTCAGGGGTGTGGCCTAATATACTAATGAGTTTCTGCTGTTGGGTGTGGCCTATTATGCTAACGAGTTCCTGCTGGGCTTTTTCTACAAAAAGAGCCCTGCACATCACCAAGCCTTCCCTCCCCCCCTTTCTTTCTCTTCTCCCGTCTCCAGTACCATCTGGATTACTGCTCCATGTACCGGGAGAAAAGCACGTGTGCCAAGGATCCCGAATGTGCCTGGTGCATGAACGTCTGTCAGAGCACCCAGCCCCACAGCATCGTGAGTGATCCCATGGGGGGCAGGGTGGGTGGGATGGGTGTGTCTTTCCACGGATGAGTGGCAGGCGGTTGGCTCCTCTTGTCCTAGGAGGGTCAAGGGCTTCTCAAACCAAAGGGCTACTCAAACTGGGACTCGACCAAGTCCCCTAACTTGAGAAATGGCTTGTTTGAACCTCCTTGAAGGGTAGGAATATTAGGACAGCCCTGGTGGATCAGACCGGTGAGGGTCCATCCAGCATCTTGTCTCACACCATGGCCAGTCAGTTCCCCTGGAGGGCCAACCACAGGGCACAGAGGCTGAGGCATTCATAAATACGTCAGAAGAGCCCTGCTGGATCAGACCAGTGGTCCCTCTAGTCCAGCATCCTGTCTCACACAGTAGCCAACCAGTTCCTCTGGAGGGCCAACCACAGGGCATGGAGGCTGAGGCCTTCCTCTGATAAGAATGTAAGAGCCTTGCTGGATCAGACCAGGGGTCCATCTAGTCCAGCATCCTGTCTCACACAGTGGCCAACCAGTTCCTCTGGAGGGCCAACCACAGGGCACAGAGGCTGAGGCCTTCCCTGATGCTGCCTCCTGGCTCTGGGATTCAGAAGATCAGTGCCTCTGAATGTGGAGGTTCCCCTCAGCCACCATGCCTAGTAGCCATTGATAGGCAGTTCTAGAGAGACAAAGATGGATATGGTTCGGTTCGCAACGAACAGCATAAGCAGAGCTTGTTTATATGCAAATATGCATAACATGCAGATTGCAGAATTCACCTTTATGCAGAAGGGTCTTGAAAACGTTGGCTGGGCTCTTTAACTCTTGCAGATCTTGCCGATCAGTGCCCCCGTTGCCTTCCTCCGAGATCTCAGGGTGACCAACGTTTAATTCTCTTCCCTCCGTTTCCAATGTTATCCTCACAAAAGGTCTGTTGAGATAGTTTAAGCTGTGAGATAGTGATGGGTCCAGAACCGCTACGTGAGTTTGAGTGGGGATTCGAATGCAGGACTCCTGAGACTTTGAAGCTGTAACCACTGCACACCAGTGTCTTTGGGGAGGAGTTTCCTTCTTTCCTCCTCGGTTCTTACCTTCTAGCGATTCCCTCCCAGTGATTTCTTTATTTCCTGGCTCTGAGTATTCAGAGGATGTGCAAGCTGAGAATCGGAAGATTCTCGGGTAGGGTTCCCCTGAGGCAGAGCAAGGAGTTTTGTGTTCTGGTTCTTCTTCTTCTTTTTTTAAATTATATTTATTGGTTTTCACATATGTACAACCATTTGTTCATATAGATACATACATTTTAGAGCCTTTAATTATTTTCTAACCAATTATACGTTCCCGACCATCTTTTTGTAAAAACTTCTTCATTTCCCCCCTGTAACATTAAGCTTAGTTTATCCATTTCAGCTACTCTCAACAATCTATTACTTTGTCTTTTTTAGGTATATTATCCTGCTTCCAATATTTTGCCCATAATATTCTTGCAGTTGTATTTATATATAGTATCAAATATTTTTCATTATAACTAAGGTCTTCTGGAATCATATTTAATAAGTATATTTCAGGCACTAAATCAAGTTTCACCTTTACCATTCTGTATACTCTTCCAATATTTCTGTACTCTCGATGGGCGTCTTCTCCTTCCCCAGTGCCCCAACACCGGCTGCCTTGGGTTGGCCCGCCTCTTGGTCGACTGCCAGTCCTGCCTGGCCTTCGGCAGCACCAACGCTTCTCTGCCCCGGGCCCCAGGCCCCTTCGGCTGGTGTGTGCAGAACGAGACCTGCATGCCTCTCTCGGGTAAGTGAGCCAAACCAGACGGTTCTTCCCCAGCGCCACAAGCCCGCACGGTGTTTGCAGTGGTGTCACCGCCTCGCTCTGCCACTTCTTTCTTCATGCTGGACCCTCTAAGCCTGTGGCGAGCGGAGAGGCAGCTTTCAGCCAGGGTGGCCATCCTGAAATCCACTCCTGGGATCGGGAGGGGGGTGGTCTTCAGCCCAGGGTCCCAGGCTTGGGGTGGTGGTTTTTTTTCCAGGTAGAGGCACCGATTTTTCAGCATAGCTTTTGGTGCCTCTCCTAAAAAAACCACCCAAGTTTCAAAAAGATTGGACCAGGGGGTCCAAATCTGTGAGCCTCAAAAGAAGGTGCCCCCATCTTTTGTTATTTCCAATGGAGGGAAGGCATTTAAAAGGAACATGGACCATTTAAACGTGACAGCCAGAACTCTCTTTGGAGTTCAGTTGTGCTTCTTCCCTCCCCTGTTCTGGAGGGTCCTGGAAAGTCCCCCGCTGGCTTGTCAGCCTCACCTGGTAACCTTACGTGGTACCAATGCGTGTGGCTTAGGTGGAAAATGAGTTGAGAGCAACCCGTGTTAGAAGCACAAGCTCCTACCATGGAATCACAGGAACCTTCTGGAAGTGAAATCACAGGATGTGACATCACAAAAGTGATGTCATATCCTTGCTCCTGGCTCCACCCCCCCAAAGTCCCCAGATATTTCTTGAGTCAGATCTGGGAACCCTATGCCCACCAAGCCTTTCAGAAAGTGGGAGGGGCCATTGTAAGGCCAGGCTTGTTATTGGCTGCCCGTATGCAAATGAAAGAGCCTTCAGGGGCACTGGTAAGCACGTGTACTTTCCTTAGGCAATGTGTGGGTTTCCCTTTCCCCTTCAGGCTTTCCTTCTTTTCATTCCCCATTTTGTCCTCCTCCAGCTTCTCCCCCCCCCTTCTCTGATACTTTTGCAAAGAGAGGAGGGAAGTTCTGCATCTGAATCTGTCTCCTGTGGCAGCCATTTTGGGTTTGGCTCCGCCTTCCATGGCAGCCATTTTGGGCTTGGCTCCGCCTCCCGTGGCAGCCATTTTGGGCTTGGCTCCGCCTCCCATGGCAGCCATTTTTGGGATGGCGCTTACCACCCCCTCTCGAAATTCCAAAGGTGCGCACAGGCTCAAAAACATTGGGGACCCCGGCACGAGGCAAAGTCCTGGCCTCTGGCCGGGACGTTTCCCACAACAAGCCTTCGATAGCAGCCAGCCCATGTCTGGGCGGGGGTCTCACGTGGATTCAGCCCGTAGGCCTCCTGCCGCTGACCCACTGTTTTCTGAGGAGAAAAGGGGGGTCACCTCCAGGGAGACCCTGGAAAGTGGTTTTTACTCTTAGAGCATCCCGGGGGATGTGAGATACCCTCTCGCCCGAATGGGCCCAGTGTATCTGAAGTGAGCCCTCCCCTGTTTCCTCTTCTTCCTTCTCCAGAGCGGGGCAGGTGCCAGGTGGAGAAGATCTCGGGCACTTTCGGGTGGTGGGGGCCTCACCCCTACTTCGTCACATCCTTGGCCCAGTGCCAGCGCGAGAGCTTCCTGCCCGGCCTTCACCTCATCACCTACCAGCAGCCGCGCAACGACTCCCAGCCCGATAAGGTAAGGGGTAGAATGGCCACAGTCTTGGCGCGGATTGATTCGGCAGTTCGCGTGTGCCTGCGATTGGGGGTAGCCAGCCTGGTGGGGAAGCCTTTCCTCCCAAGGCCCTCTGAGGGGACTCCTTCGCAGAAGCCTGGGACGTTCCAGATGCACGGTCTGGACAGCGCCACAGGAAGCCTGCGTCCGACCGACGGGTAAAATGCCCGAGAATCAGGTTTGTGTGTATGCCAAGGCTTCCCTCTAAGCTGTGGATGTCTCCTGAGCAAAAATTCTGCTCTGTGAGCGACCGGCATTAAAGTTGTGAGTGAGCGGTTTGGCTGCCGCATAAATCAGTCTGCTCTGGACTCGGAGCCCTCCTTCCTGAGCGAAGACAAAAATGGGTGAGCCAGAGGCTAAAAAAACTGTGAGCTAGCTCACACTAACTTATCTTAGAGGGAACACTGCTCTGGAGCCCTCCTTCCTGAGCGAAGACAAAAATGGGTGAGCCAGAGGCTAAAAAACTGTGAGCTAGCTCACACTAACTCAGCTTAGAGGGAGCACTGGTGTATGCCAGGGGTCCCCAACTTGACGCCCATGGGCACCGTGCTGCCTGCTGATACCTTTCCTGCTGGTGTGATCATTGGGCCTGGCGACCCTGGAAGCCAGACTGTGGGGTGGGGGAGGGCTTCCGCATCACTTATCTCCGTTCCCTGTTAAAATCAGAACGATTTATTGGGCTGTTAAAGAGAACCTATTTGCACAAATTAAGGAGGGGATGGTATTCCTCTGCCAAGAATCTGTGCTGATCTGTCCCCCCCCCCCCAAGGGCACGCAGCCCCGGTGAGGATAAAGGCAGAGTAGTCTGTGAGCTACTTGGAATGTAGAGCTTTGTTAGTCATTGGAACGGCAGGCCCCGCCCCATTCCCTTTTGCTGCATGGTTTGTTACCTGCCAAGCGGAACACGGCCTTCCAGTCATGTGTAGCTCTGTCAGGGGCTTAAAAGTTCCTCTTTTTGTGTGTATGTGCTCTTGGCCAACCAGAGCAGCAAAAAACAAAGTTTACCGAAGCACTCAGCTTCTCAGGTTTGCACCCCATGAAGTCCGGCATTAGTTAGAATGAGTGGATTGGCTGTCTTGCAGCGTAACTTTTTGTAAAAAAAAAATTAATTCATTCATACCCAACTTTTCTCCCCCGTGAGGACCCAAAGCAGTTTAGATCGTTCTCCTGTCCTCCTTTTTTTCCTCACAACAACCCTCTGAGGTGGGTTAGGCTGAGAGTCTGTGAGTAGCCCATGGTCACCCGGCAAGCTTCTGCGGCACAGTGGGGAATTCGAACTGGAGCCCCCAGATCCTAGTCTGGCACTCTGACCACTGCACCATGCTGGCCACCCCCACCCCCTGCCGGAAATAAACGCAACTTAGGAGGGAGGAAGCAGGAAGTAAACACAACATGCTTATGTCACCTGGAAGAGTGAATCAGGGGGAGGGGGACAGTCTGGTTTTTGGGCAAAACTCTATAGTTTGAAGCCAATTTTACCATAGAGTTTTTCCCAAAAACCAGTGTGTTGCTCCCGACAGTACCGATGTGCCTGCGTCACTTCCGGGTGATGTAGGCACATGGTGTTTATTTCTGAGTATGACACTTCCTGTTCCTGGAATCCTCCTGCCATCCCCCCGTCCACGGGTCTAACAGACCCGGCAACCCTAGTCTGGCCTCTAACCATTACACCACTTTGGCGTGCCAGGACATGTGCCCAAGTGAGTGCACTGCAGCTTGGCGGCGATTAGACCTGCAAATTTCTTAGTCTCTGTGTGTTCCAGGACATGTGTCAAACAGGATTTGAATGGCTGAGCTGGGTTTTTTGGGGATGTGTTACTTCTTCATTTGTGTGCCTGTACTGTGTTGTTGTTTTGCCCTTTTTCTGCATAACTGCTCCTTCTAGCGGTCGCTTCGATTAGTTAGAATGAGTGGATTGGCTGTCTTGCAGCGTAACTTTTTGTAAAAAAAATATATAATTCATTCATACCCAACTTTTCTCCCCCGTGAGGACCCAAAGCAGTTTAGATCGTTCTCCTGTCCTCCATTTTTTCCTCACAACAACCCTCTGAGGTGGGTTAGGCTGAGAGTCTGTGAGTAGCCCATGGTCACCCGGCAAGCTTCTGCGGCACAGTGGGGAATTCGAACCGGAGTCCCCAGATCCTAGTCTGGCACTCTGACCACTGCACCGTGCTGGCTCCCAATGAATAAATAGAAAGGAACCCGAATTTGTGCACAGAAAAGAGTGTTATCAGTGCTATCAGGAAGTGGGGGGTGGGAAGGGACGCCACCCCCCACCCCCGCCGGAAATAGGAAGGAAATAGGGAGGAAGCAGGAAGTAAACCCAACATGCTTACGTCACCTGGAAGAGATGTAGGCATGTCAGTGAATCAGGGGGAGGGGGACAGTCTGGTTTTTGGGCAAAACTCTATAGTTTGAAGCCAATTTTACCATAGAGTTTTGCCCAAAAAGGAGCTGCGGTGGATCAAGTGGTCAGGACGCTGAACTGCAGGCTGTGGAAGGTTGGTAGTTCAGCAGTTCGAGACCCGAGTGTGCCGCATGACGGAGTGAGCTCCCGTCTCTAGTTCCAGCTCCTGCCAACCTAGCAGTTCGAAAGCAAGAAATTGCAAGTAGATAAATAGGGACCACTTCGGTGGGAAGGTAACAGTGTTCCGTGCGCCTTGGTGTTTAGTCATGCCGGCCACATGACCACGGAAACGTCTTCGGACAGCGCTGGCTCTTCAGCTTTGAAACGGAGATGAGCACCGCAACCCTAGAGTCGGACTCAACTGGCTTTCGAGCAAGGGAAACCTTTACCTTTACCTATAGTTTGAAGCCAATTTTACCATAGAGTTTTGCCCAGAACCCAGTGTGTTGCTCCCGACATTATCGATGTGCCTGCGTCGCTTCCGGGTGATATAGGCACATGGTGTTTATTTCTGAGTATGTCACTTCCTGTTCCCGGAATCCTCCCGTCATCCCCCCGTCCACGGGTCTAACAGACCCGGCAACCCTATCTCCCAGATCCTAGTCTGGCCTCTAACCGTTACACCACTTTGGCGTGCCAGGACATGTGCCCAAGTGAGTGCACTGCCGCTTGGCGGCGATTAGACCTGCAAATTTCTTAGTCTGTGTGTTCCAGGACATGTGTCAAATAGGATTTGAATGGCTGAGCTGGGGCTTTTGGGGGATGTGTTATTTCTTCATTCGTGTGCCTGTACTGTGTTGTTGTTTTGTCCTTTCCTAACTGCTCCTTCTAGCGGTCGCTTCGATGTTTCATCACCGTATCTTTGCTTTAAACGTGTTTGTAAATAAGCCGGAGATACTTGATGAAATATCGACGCGACCACTAGAGGGAGCAAACTACGTGCGATCAGGCTCTTTTTGAAGCAGGGACTCCTTTGCATATTATGCGACACACCCCTCATGTAGCCAATCCTCCAAGAGCTTACAGTAGCTCCTGTAAGAAGAGCTCTGTAAGCTCTTGGTGGAGGATTGGCTACATTAGGGGTGTGTGGCCTAATATGCAAAGGAGTTCCTGCTACAAAAAGGACGGTGCGAAAAAGGAGAAAATACCCCCAAACCAATATGGGTGCAACAGCAACAAAGATAAGATGTGTGGAGAAAAACCCTGGGCGGGATTCAGCCATTGAGCCACCACCTGCTCTAGCTGAAGGGAGGACTGTGGAATATCGTGTACAGTTCTGGTCACTGTTGTCTCCAAAAGGTTTCCCATCACCTCCTGCCTGGTCCTTTTTTACTGGAGATGCCGGGGATCGAACCTGGGACCTTCTGCATGCCAAGCAGAGGCTCTGCCACTGAGCTACAGCCCCCCTTCATGGCTCTCCAGGGTCTCTGGTGGAGGTCTTTCCCATCACGTACTGCTTGACCCTTTTTAACTGGAGATGCCGGGGATCGAACCTGGGACCTTCTGCATGCCAAGCAGAGGCTCTGCCACTGAGCTACAGCCCCCCTTCATGGCTCTCCAGGGTCTCTGGTGGAGGTCTTTCCCATCACGTACTGCTTGACCCTTTTTAACTGGAGATGCCGGGGATCGAACCTGGGACCTTCTGCATGCCAAGCAGAGGCTCTGCCACTGAGCTACAGCCCCCCTTCATGGCTCTCCAGGGTCTCAGGCGGAGGTCTTTCCCATCACCTCCTGCCTGGTCCTTTTAACTGGAAATGCCGGGGATCAAACCAGGGACCTTTTGTCTGCAGAGCAGAGACTCTTCCATTGAGCCACAGACCCTCCCCTCCTGCAGATTGAGCAGGGGTTTTTGCCCCTGCGGGAGGCTGTGACATAGTGAAGATTGGAAACATACAGAGGGAAAAGGGAGCAGTGGCCCTGTTTGGGATTGGGGGGGGGATTCTCAGAGGGTCCCTCATCTGTTCAAAGGCTTTTTAGGGAGATTTCAACATCTCAAGGGTTGCGCCGTAGCCAAGGAACTAGTGGGGTGGATCCTACCCCTCTCCTTCTGCTCCGCCGAGCAAAAGTTATTTATTTATTTGTGTCTTTTGGGTCAAGTTTGAAGCTTTCCTCCAATCTAAGGTGCTTTCCTCCGAATTAAGCAGCTCTTTTCATCAAAGGAAGAGAGACTGAAGTCGGACCAAAGCTCCTTAGGCTACAGGAAGGCTACTTGAGGGAGTTGGATCCTTGACATGTACGAAAGGCCCCACGGTTATGGAACAGCCTCCCCAGGGAGGTGTGCCAGGCCTCCTCCCTTTCGATCTTTAGGAGGCAGCTGAAGACGGTTTTATTTAGGACTGCATTTAGTTAAAGCCGTCCTCAAATGCAATTTTAAATTTTGGCTTTATACATTTTTATGTACCCTGTTTCGTGTATTTCGTTCATTTCGTAAGCCACCTTGAGCTCCATGAGGAAGGAAAGGGGGCTAATAAATATTTTAAATAATAAATACATTTTTAAAAAGTCAGTAGTCCCTTAAAACGTTGACGAGAATGCCTGCCCCACAGACAGGGACTTGTGTTCTAAGCAAGGGGAAACAAACCCATTACATTTTTATAAAGTTTGGCTGCCTGGTTGCCTGCCAGAGATTCTCGCTTCGCCATAGGCGACCAGACAAAAAGCCATTCAGCAAACCGTTTGCTTACATGTGTTCTAAGCAAGGGGAAACCAATCCATGACATTTTTATAAAGTTTGCCTGCCTGGTCACCTGCAAGAGATTCTCGCTTCGCCATAGGCGACCAGACAAAAAGCCATTCAGCAAACCGTTTGCTTACATGTGTTCTAAGCAAGGGGAAACCAATCCATGACATTTTTATAAAGTTTGCCTGCCTGGTCACCTGCAAGAGATTCTCGCTTCGCCATAGGCAACCAGACAAAAAGCCATTCGCCAAACCGTCCGTTTGCCTACTTTGCGTAATGCCACCAAAAAGCCTGCCTCTCCCGTCTTCTCTTCCGCTCCAGGAGGAGGTGGGCCGCTGGGCCGTACAACAAGACAACAACAAGCGGTTGCTCCAGCGCCCCGGGGCTGAGCGCCTCTTCCCCAGCCCCGAGAGGGGCAATAAATATGCCGTGCTGGTCGAAGGCCACCTTAATAGTTCCGGCAATGGGCAGACGAGCGAGCTGACTCTCACCTGGGACCGTACAGGAGTGCCAGGAGGCAGCGTGAGTATCTTTGCGTTCCCATGTTGGCCGCTGGGACTCGGCCGATCTTGAACGACTCCCACGGTGGAGCCCAATTTCTCGGCCGCCTCCTGTCAGGCACTGGTTGCTATAACTGGTACAACTGTGGGTTAGTAAGGAGGGGGCACTGCTCTATTTGTGAAGTCTCAGGCGGAGGTCTTTCCCATCATGTACTGCTTGACCCTTTTTAACTGGAGATGCCAAAGATCGAACCAGGGACCTTCTGTCTGCAGAGCAGAGACTCTTCCATTGAGCCACAGCCCCTCCCCTCATGCAGATTGAGCAGGGGTTCTTGCCCCTGCAGGAGGCTGTGACATGGCGAAGATCGGAAACATACAGAGGAAAAAAGAAGCAGTGGCCCTGTTTGGGATTCGGGGGGGAGGGATTCTCAGAGAGTCCCTCATCTGTTCAAAGGCTTTTTAGGGAGATTTCAACATCTCAAGGGTCGCGCCGTGGCCAAGGAACTACTGGGGTGGATCCTACCCCTCTCCTTCTGCTCCGCCGAACAAAAGTTATTTATTTATTTGTGTCTTTTGGGTCAAGTTTGAAGCTTTCCTCCAATCTAAGGTGCTTTCCTCCAAATTAAGCAGCTCTTTTCATCAAAGGAAGAGAGACTGAGACCAAAGCTCCTTAGACTACAGGAAGGCTACTTGGGCGAGGGTTGGATCCTTGACATGTACGAAAGGCCCCACGGTTATGGAACAGCCTCCCTAGGGAGGTGCGCCAGGCCTCCTCCCTTTCGATCTTTAGGAGGCAGCTGAAGACGGTTTTATTTAGGACTGCATTTAGTTAAAGCCGTCTGGTCTTTTAAGATGCTGCCGGGTTTGAATTTTGCTCTGTCCAGAGAGGGAGCCTGGCACAGCCCAGAGGGAGAGAGCTGGTTCTTCTGCCCTCTCCGAGAGCAATGGCTTTTTATTTAGAGAGCAGTGTCAGGAAAGGGGAATCTCCAGATTATGGAAAGCAAGCAAACACGCTATAAATAACGCAGACTACAATTGCTCAAAAGTCATGCAAAACGGAGGTAGTTTATATAAGAATATCAGTAAAATAAATTTACATCATACAATGTACAGGTCCATGAGTAGTGCAGGTCCATAAATGGTACATAGATAAGAGTAGTGCAAGTCCATAAATGGTACATAGACAGGACAAAGACTCTGGATTTAGATCTTCGTTTCGATAGCTCTTCTTCAAGAAGTTCATACTACTACAATTGCATGACGTTTGAGCAGGGCTCTTTTGGAGGATAAAGCCCAGCAGGAACTCATTAGCATAATAGGCCACACCCAACAGCAGAAACTCATTAGCATATTAGGCCACACCCCCGACAGCACAACTCATTGGCACATTAGGCCACACACCCCCATGTTACCAGAAGTGTGCTCATCCAGCCACACCCACCTTTTGCATCTTATTCTGTTTACCTTGTTTGTTGTCCAAACCCAGGGCCTTTTTTTGTAGCAGGAACTCCTTTGCACGTTAGGCCACACACCCCTAATGTAGCCAATCCTAATGCGTTCCTGCTGTTGGGTGTGGCCTATTATGCTAATGAGTTCCTGCTGGGTGTGGCCAACTTGGGAGCCAGCCGGAACTCCGTTCCTGTGCGTTCCTGCCCAAAAATAGCCCTGCGTCTGAGCAATTGTAGTCTGCGTTATTTATAGTGTTTGCTTGCTTTCTGTGAATTTGTATACTGTGATATCGCATTGGTTAATGGAATCTCCAGATTATGCCCATCTGTTTCAGCCCATCTGTTTTAGCACACCGAGAGCTCTAAAGGAAGCCCTGGCCAGAATTAACGCAACTGCGACCCAGCAATTCTCTTAATCTCCTGAGTGCGTATTTTACTGAATGATTGGTAGGTACTTCTTAGAAGGAGCTGCGGTAGCTCAAGTGGTTAAGGCGCTGAACTGCAGGCTGTGGAAGGTCAGTAGTTCAGCAGTTCGAGACCCGAGTGTGACGCATGACGGACTGAGCTCCCGTCTCTAGTTCCAGCTCCTGCCAACCTAGCAGTTCGAAAGCAAGAAATTGCAAGTAGATAAATAGGGACCACTTCGGTGGGAAGGTCACAGTGTTCCGTGTGCCTTTGTGTTTAGTCATGCCGGCCACATGACCACGGAAACGTCTTCGGACAGCGCTGGCTCTTCGGCTTTGGAACGGAGATGAGCACCGCAAACCTAGAGTCGGATTCGACTGGCTTTCGAGCAAGGGAACCTTTACCTTTAACTTTACTTCTTAGAAAGAGAGAAGGTTTTTTTGTTTTTTTAATTCTCAGTGGCTTTTTGCCCCCCTTCCCCTTGAACCAAAATTTGGCTAAAGTTCTATAGACTATAGAGGCTGATCAGCACTAGGCAAAAAGACACTAGGATTTGGGGGCGGTCGCGTTCAGCTGCCTTTGTGGGAAAGGGTAGACATCAAGTTGTTCGGTATCTCCTAGCCTCTGTGAGGATCTCTGGGTTGGTTGTGAATGATCATGAATAGCGTTATCTTTATTCTATTTCAGTCTGTGATCATTTCTTCGTTTGCTTTCCGATGTGCATATTTGTGCATATTTGTGTTACCTGGCTCTGTCGTCTTTTAAATGGCTTGGCGCCTGTACTAAATGCGTAATAAAGCTTCTGAAGAGAAAGGGAATGGGCAACACGGCGCGGGGGGGGGTGGCTTTGCCTGCCAAGCTTTGTAGAAATTTTATGAAAAGGGTCCCCGACTTGGTGCCTGTGGGCACGAGGGTGGGATCTTCACTGTGCGCCTGGAGGAAAGCTGCAGCATCCATTTTGTGGCTGGCCCCGCCTTCTGCAGCCGCCGTTTGTGGCAGCCGTTTTGCGGCTCTGCGCCCACCACGCCCTGTCAGGATTCCAAAGGTGCCCGCGGGCTGAAAAAAGTTGGGGACCCCTGCAGTGTTCCCTCTAAGCTGAGTCAGTGTGAGCCAGCTCACAGTTTTTTAGCCTCCGGCTCACACATTTTTTGTCTTCGCTCAGGAAGGTCCAGAGCAAAATAATTCATGCAGCAGCCAGATCGCTCGCTCACAACTTCAATGCCAGGGGCTCACAGAGTAGAATGTTTGCTCACAAGACTCCACAGCTTAGAGGGAGCATTGGACCCCTGTTTTATGAACTGCAGTTTGGGAGTAGAGACAAAAGGTGCCGAGGTACATCGCATCCGTTTGCTTCTGAGGCATCCTGATTCTGGAGACTTCCTCTCTCTCTCTGTCTCTCTCTCCTGCTTTGACTGCGTAGGAGATCTCCTACTTCTTCTTGGAGCCCTTCCACTCGGAGATGTGCGCCACGTACAGCTCATGCCTGGCTTGTCTGGCCGACCAGGGGTGCGGCTGGTGCCCGCTCACCGCCACCTGCCACCGACGCCTGGCGCAGAAGGACGCCGCCGGGTCCTGCGGGGCCGACACCGTGCGCCTCGTTCTGCTGCCGAGCAATTGCATCCTGTGCGAGGATTACCGCGACTGCCACGCCTGCAGCAAGGTGAGGGGCGTGTTGTGGCCCAGTGAGTTTTCCCAGGGCCGAGGCTTGTCTTGCGAGCAGAGAGGAGCTGGCATATCGCAGCGATCGGTGGTCTCCTGGCGCTTTCAGCAGTACGTCTTATCTTCGGAGTGGATGGATTTCCCCAAAAACTGGAATCCCTGATTTACTGCACAGTCAGACATACGTATAGAATAGAACCGCAGAGTTGGAAGGGGCCATGCAGGCCATCTAGTCCGACCCCCTGCTCAATGCAGGATCCGCCTAGAGCATCCCTGACAAGTGTCAGTCCACCCACTGCTTAAAGACTGCCAGGGAGGGGGAGCTCACCACCTCCCCAGACAGCCGATTCCACTGTTGCACAACTCTGACTGTAAAAAGGTTTTCCCTAATACCCAGCCGGTACCTTCCCGCCCTTAATTCAAACCCATTCTCGCGAGTCCTCTCTGCTGCCCACAGGAACAGCTCCCTGCCCTCTTCTAGGTGACGGCCCTTCAAATACTCCCAAGAGAGCAATTATGTCTCCCTCTCAACCTCCTCTTCTCCAGACCGAACATCCCCAAGTCCCTCAGCCTTTCCTCACAGGGCTTCTTGGTCTCCAGGCCCCCGATCACCCTCGTCGCTCTTCTGTCCACATCCTTTTTGAAGTGAGGCCTCCAGAACTGCACACAGTACTCCAGGGGCACCCTGACCAATGCAGTGTACAGTGGGACTTGGACATCTCGCGATTTGGATGTTGCGCCTTTGTTGATACACCCCAAGAGTGCATTAGCCTAGATTGCATTAGCCCAGAGCAGGTGACCCCCCAACGTGGTGCTTATGGGCTGTGGGAGGAACCAGGTGGGACCTTTGCCCCACAAGCCTTCTAATTGCCCACTGGAGATCTCATTGGCTGTGCAGATTTTTAAAAACTTTGCCTTAGAAGCAACTGCCTCTAGAACGCAGGGATCTTCACTGCGTGAACGAAGGTGAGCTGCGGCAGCCATTGTGTGTGGCCGGCTCCGCCTCCTGCGGCAGCCGTTGTGTGGCAGCCATTTTGCGCCCATGCCCACCTTGCTGTGTGAGAACTCCAAAGGGCTCACAAAGGTTGGGGGACCCCCGGTCTGGAGGTAGGTCATAATGAAAAAGATAATGGAGAGCCGGTGTGGTGTTGTGGTCAGATCATCAAATTAGGCTCATCCGGGAGACCCAGGTTCGAATCCCCACTCTGCCACGGAGGCTCGCTGGGTAACCTTGGGCTAATCGCGCCACTCTGAAGGCTAACCTACCTTGCAGGGACGTTGTGAGGATAAAATGGAGGAGAGGAGAAGGCTGTAAGCTGTTCTGGCTCCCGACTGGGGAGAAAGCAAGGGTAGGAAGGAAGTAAATAAGAATTCGAAAGGATAGATTGCCGGGTTGGAAACTGGTTCTGGTTCTTGCCTGATAGCAAGGTTGCGGAGCCAGCTCCGATATACCCTTTGCATGTTGTCTTAACAGTGTAGGAGCTGATTCAGAAACCCAGGACTGGCATATGATAAAGTCCCTCCCGGGTTGGACCACTTCAGGGTGGGGACTGTGTGTCTGAGGGCTTCCCCACTTAATCAGCTAGCTGCTCACAGAAAGTTAGCATGTCAGGGGAGGCTCAGGTAAAACCCGGACTCGCTAGCTTTCCGGGTACAGGAAGTTCTTCACAAGGAGACGGCTTCCAAAGTGCTGACCCCCTTCCTGCTCCCTGGTGTGGTGCCGCCCAAGCTGGACTGTACCACAGTGCATTTCTGAGAGGGGGGGTTCCTGGTATGGGGCAGCTCTCTAATTTGGGCCCTGAATGTCTTACCCTAAGGTGTCTTTAAATCTGAGTCCTGCCTATGTCACTCCCATCCTTTCATCCCCACCCAAAGAGAGACGCTTCTTCCTTTGCTGAATGAGAGCCTGCCTCATAGCAACCACGAGAGACAGACGCGCCAAAACAAAGCAAGTTGCTAGTAGCAGATACTGATCATAGAGAGTTGCAGATGACTGTCCTAGAGAGGTGCATGCCACAGGTAGCAGACACAGTCCTGGAGAGTTGGGTGAGAAGACGAAAACCATCGCGGGCAAACCAAACCCTCTTCTCACACAAATTAATTAATTAATAATCGTATGGCAGCGTGTGTAGAATAGCCAGGAGATCCTAAGATCGTCCGGCAGCTAGAAGTTCCAGCTCATTTAGCGTCATGCGCCACTAAGGTAGGAGCTGCGGTGGCTCAAGTGGTCAAGACGCTGAACTGCAGGCTGTGGAAGGTCAGTAGTTCAGCAGTTCGAGACCCGAGTGTGCCGCATGACGGAGTGAGCTCCCATCTCTAGTTCCAGCTCCTGCCAACCTAGCAGTTCGAAAGCAAGAAACTGCAAGTAGATAAATAGGTACCACTTTGGTGGGAAGGTAACAGCGTTCCGTGCGCCTCGGTGTTTAGTCATGCCAGCCACATGACCACGGAAACGTCTTCGGACAGTGCTGGCTCTTCGGCTTGGAAACGGAGATGAGCACCGCAACCCTAGAGTCGGACTCGACTGGCTTTCGAGCAAGGGAAACCTTTACCTTTACCTTTTACCACTAAGGTGGCGAGCTAGATTTGTTTTAAGGCAAGGGACGTTTCAGGAGGTAGTTTGCCATCGCCTGCCTCTGCGTCCTGCCCCTGGTTTTCCGCCCGCCGAGGCCGGCTGGCCAACGCGATCCGCTCTCCGCAAGAGTGTCCCAAACTCTGCAACCAGTGAGTGACCCCGAGGAGGAGGAGGCGGTGGCATGCATTGGGTCGCTGTTGGCATTGGCCAGCAGCTTGTGTGGGAAAGGGGCACGCGTCGGAGTTTGCTCTGTCGCGTAGAGGTCACAAAAGGGGGCAGATACCGGCCCTGGGATAAGGTAGCTGCCAGTGCCTCTAGGTTTCCCAGTTGCCTGGTCCCAAACTCTGCAACCAGTGAGTGACCCTGAGGAGGAGGAGGCGGTGGCGTGCATTGGGTGGCTGTTGGCGTTGGCCAGCGGCTTGTGTGGGAAAGGGGCATGAGTCGGAGTTTGCTCTGTCATGTAAAGGTCACAAAATGGGGCGGATACCGGCCCTGGTTGCTCTACACTCTGGATCAGGTAGCCGGCAGTGCCTCTAGGTTTCCCAGTTGCCTGGACCTAGTGAGGAAAACTCAGTCATGCTAGGAAGAGGAAGACCCAACGGGAGATGGATCGACTCCATCAAGGGAGCCAGGGCCCACCGTCGGCAAGGCCTAAGCAAGGCTGCCAACGATGGGACGTTTTGGAGGTCATCAATTCACGGGGCTGCCATAAGTCGGAAGCGTCTTGACAGCACTTAAACACCAAACATTTGGGAATTCCCCAGCCCCAATCTCCCACCTGTGAGAGATTGAGGAATGGAAGAAAAAAACATGTTCTCCATAGGGACGCCCTAGGAATTCCCCCTAGTCTCTGTGGTCTCTACCATAGAGATTGCGGGGATTCCTAGAGCATCCCCCGGAAGTGACGCCGTGTCCTCCCAAAACTCCATCATTCCCAGGCCCCACTGTCAAAATCTCCAGGCATTTAGCTAGGTAGTGTTGGGAAACATAAGTGGCTGGGAGAGTTTTATTCTCACTGCAGCAGGCAGCGACAGGGACCAATCAGGTTGAGTGGGCTGGAAGGCTCTGGTGAGCCCTCCAGTGTCAGACTGTGGCCCAGGAAGCTTGTGAAGTGGGAGGGCTCCAGGAGTTCTGGCCCTGCTGGTGGACCTCCTGGTGGCCCCTGGGGTTTTGGCCACTGTGTGACACAGAGTGCTGGACTGGATGGGCCATTGGCCTGATCCAACATGGCTTCTCTTATGTTCTTATAGATGGAACACTCAGTCTGGGGCAGTGATGCTCAGTCTTCTTGGTGCTTGGGGGGGCACAGTGGGAGAGCTTCTGGAGTTCTGGCCCAGCTGGTGGACCTCCTGATGGCCCCTGGGTTTTTGGACACTGTGTGACACAGAGGGTTGGACTGGATAAGCCACTGGTCTGATCCAACATGGTTTCTCTTATGTTCTTAAGCGAAGAGGTCCATCAGTGGCTATTAGGCACAAAGAACAGATGGAACACTCCGTCTGGGGCAGTGATGCTCTGTCTTCTTGGTGCTTGGGGGGGGGCAGCAGTGGGAGGGCTTCTGGAGTTCTGGTCCAGCTGGTGGGCCTCCTGATGGCCCCTGGGGTTTTGGACACTGCGTGACACAGAGTGCTGGACTGGATAAGCCACTGATCCAACATGGCTTCCCTTATGTTCTTATATGGAGCAGAGGTCCATCAGTGGCTATTAGCCACATGGTATAGATGGAACACTCTGTCTGGGGCAGTGATGCGTTGTCTTCTTGGTGCTTGGGGGGGCACAGTGGGAGGGCTTCTGGAGTTCTGGCCCCGCTGGTAGACCTCCTGATGGCTCCTGATGGCACCTGGTACTTTTCCACCGTGTGACACAGAGTGTTGGACTGGATGGGCCTTTGGACTGATCCAACATGGCTTAATTTACATTCCTAGGTTCTCTTCTGTTTTTGCCATCCAGTCACAGCTGACGTACAGTGACCCTGTGGGGATTTCAAGGCAAGAGATGTGCAGAGGTGGTCTGCCATCCCTTGCTTCTGTGTAGGGGCCCCGGACTTCCTTGGTCTCCCATCCAAATATTAACCAGGGCCGACCCTGCTTAGCTTCCGAGGTCGGATGAGATTAGGCTACACTGGGCCGTCCAGGTGAGAGCCAGCCTCTCTAGAGCTTGTTGTTGTTCAGTCGCACAGTCGAGTCCGACTCTTCGCGACCCCATGGACGAACTCTCGCCAGGCCTTCCGGTCTTCCGCCGTCCTCTGAAGTTGGCTCAACTTCATGCTCGTTGCATCGATGACACTGTCTAACCATCTCATCCTTTGCCGTCCCCGTCTCCTTTGACCTTCAATCTTTCCCAGCATCAGAGTCTTTTCCAGTGAGTACTCCCTTCTCATTTGGTGGCCAAATTATGTGAGCCTTAGTTTCATTATCTGGCCTTCTAGGGAACAGTCAGGGTTGATTTCTTTGAGGATTGACTGATTTGTTCTTCTTGCAGTCCAAGGGACTCTCAAGAGTCTCCTCCAGCACCATAGTTCAAAAGCATCTATTCTTCGGCGCTCGGCCTTCCTTATAGTCCAGCTCTCGCAGCCATACATGACTACTGGGAGTACCATTGCTTTGACCATGCGGACTTTTGTTGGCAGGGTGATGTCTCTACTTTTTATCATGCTGTTTAGGTTCGCCATCGCTTTCCTCCCAAGGAGCAGGCGTCTTTTAATTTCATGGCTGCAGTCACAGTCTGCGGTGATCTAGAGCTACCATACACATATTGTAGGACCTGCAGATTTGGGGGGTGGAAACATTTTTAATTGGTGAGTTTACAATCACAGTTTGAAGGCTTGTGGGCACAGTGATGGTGTTCTTGGCAGCCCACAGAGCGCAAGGGCCCTGGATTCCAGTTTCTGCTTTCTAATGCAAGGACGCAAGGTCCCCTGTCTAAACCCTTGGCTCGTTCCACCCTACGGTACTCTCTCTGGTACACCCAGCCTGGTCTGACCCTGCCCGTCTTGGTCTGCTGTCCCTAGCCGTCGATGCCAGTGAGGTCATCACACTGGCTCCTCCTCTTCCTGTCACGTGACCCGTGTTTGCAGCTCAGTGGGCCTTCCGTATGGGAAAGGCTGACAGCCCTCGGCATTGCAAGCTGGCCATACAGCATTTCTCTCTTCCTCCCCTCCCTTCCTCCCCTCACCTTCCAGGCGCACCACCTGCTCCGAGTGCCTCTCCAACTCCAGCCAGTGTGCCTGGTGCCAGTCCACGCGCAACTGCTTCTTCTTCGCTGCCTACCTGGCCAAATACCCTTATGGGGACTGCCGCGGATGGTACGACAGGTACGTTGGTGGGGGGGGGGGGAGGATGAACTTTGGCTGTTGAAGGGGAGCGACAGCTGCCTCCTCCCGTCTTGGGATCTTGTGCCGCTGTTGGACGGGAAGCGGAAGGGGTGGCTTGTACGTGCTCAGAGGAACCCCACTCTGGTGTGGCTAGGGGCACACAGAAGAAGGCTCCCAGCTAAGGCACAATAGGTGCATTGCAAGCTCATCTTGGGTGTGGTCCTCACAAGGTCTTGTCTGACATGAGCGAACCTGAGAGGAGGTGCCGCAGTGGCTAATGGGGAAGAGTTGGGGGCGCAAGATGTTACACGGTGACATTTCTGCAACCAAGGAGAGGGGCCACTGCTTTTGCTTGACTGAGGTGGAGGGGCTGCCGTATCTGGCCCTCGTTCCTCCCAGGATACTGGTGGGGGGAACATTTTGGTATATTTATTTCCTTCACTATGTTTCCCCCCAGAATTAAGCCCAAACAAATGGTGACCATATAAACGAAGCTTGTTATTCCAGTTTGGTCCTTGCTTCTGTTAAACGCCTTTATTATACCGTATGCTAATTTGTTCCTCACCCCCTACCTATATATATATGGACTGGCAACTTCCACTTCAACGTATCGGAAGAAGTGTGCCTTGCACACGAAAGCTTATACCTTGAATAAAACTTCGTTGGTCTTAAAGGTGCCACTGGACTGGAGCTTTGTTCAGTCTGGTATTGGGGTCAAGAATGGCGGACTCTAATCTGGAGAGCCGGCTTTGATTCCCTGCCCTGCGCCTCCTCCACATGAAGCCTGCTGGGTGACCTTGGGCCAGTCACAGTTCTCCCTGCACTGTCTCAGCCCCTCCTGCCTCACAAGGTACCTGTTGTGGGGTGAGGAAGGGAAGGCGATTGTAAGCCGCTTTGAGATTCCTTTGGGTACAGAAAATCAGGATATAAAAAACAGCTGCTGCTGCTGCTCCTCCTCTTCCTCCTTTTTCTTCTTCTCTTCCTCCTCCTCCTCCTCCTCTTCTTCTTCTTCTCCTCCTTCTCCTTCTTCTCCTCCTCCTCCTCCTTCTCCTTCTTCTTCTACTTCTTGTCCTTCTTGTCCTTCTTCTGTTTTGAATCTGACCTGAAGCAGTTCTGATTTGTTTCAACTGTTTGGACGCTGCCACCACCCCTCAAGACGAGGGGAGGGTCTTTCCTAGCCGCTCCCTTCTCCTTCCTTCCCAGATGGGAATACCGGCAGGGGAAGAGAGTCGCCGAGTGGAATGTCCCAGGAGGCACAGGGCTTCTGGCCCTTCCATTCTCAGAAGGCAGAGAAGTGGGGGGGGGGGAGACGTCCAGAGGACTAGCGACTTGATTTGTTCATTGAAAGCTTCATAACCCTGTGTGATATTTGGTGCAGCTGACCTCTCTCTCTCTCTCCCTCCCTCCCTTCCTGTGTCTGGCTTTCTCCATTCCTCCTTCCCTCAGTGTTCACTCTGTGCCCCAGTGCCTCGACTGCACCCGCTTCAACACCTGCCGGGAATGCCTGCAGAACTTCGAATGCGGCTGGTGCGGAAACTCGGACAACCCAAGCATCGGCAGGTGAGGCCAGAGTCGGAAGCAATGGCGGTCCTTGCCTAAGGTTGCCGGGTGGAGCCTGGGGAAGACAGGGACCTCAGTAGGGTGCGATGCCATAGAGTTCACACTCCAAAACATCCCTTTTCTCCAGGGGAACTAATGTCTGTAGCCTGGAGATGAGCTCTAACTCTGTGGGATCTCCAGGTCCCACCTGGAGGCTGGCATCACTATTGCCAGGTCCAGCCCGGCCACCAGCAGGGGATGGGGAGTAGGGTTGCTAGATCCAGGCTGGGAAACTCCTGGAGATTTGGGGGGTGGAGCCTGGGGGAGGACAGGGACCTCAGTGGGGCGCAATGCCATAGAGTCCACCCTCCAAAGCATCAATTTTATCCAGGGGAACTTATCTCTGTAGTCTGGAGAGGAGCTGTAATTCTGGGAGGATTCCCCAGGTCCCACCTGGAGGTTGGCATCCCTATCCCTGCTCCGGCTGCAGTCCAACCAGAGTTCCTGAGAAATTTGACTGACTTTGTGTGTGTGTGGGGGGGGCATGGAGGCGGCAGTGGTGAGATTCCATGTGTTGAGGTCATTCATCTTTGATTCCGCATGCCCAGAAGCGTGACTCTCCAGTTTCATCTTTTAAATCGATCGCTTCCGAAGCAAGTTACTAGTTCTCATGGCTCTGCCGTCACATTGAAAAGAAAGATGTCAGCCTTCTGAGTCAGCTGCGCAAAAAGAGTTCCCAGCTCCTTTGATAATGCAGGTTTCCTGGTTGGTTGGTTTTTTAAAGTTTGTACGACAGGCTGAAATTCAACCAGTGTAGCTTTCCCCGTCTCTGGAACTTCACCTGATGAGTTTCTCCCTTTAGTGCCAGATCAGTGTGTGGTGTAGCAGACAGAGTGCCTGTCTGGGATCTGAGAGACCCAGGATCTGTAAGCTGCTTTGCGTCCACACAGGGGAAGGAAATGGGGAATAAATAAACATGAAATAAAGACTGTCTGGTGTGAGCAAATCCAGGTTTGCTTTTATTTAATTATTTATTTATTGGCAGCCAGTGTGGTGGAGTGGTTAAGAGTGGTCGGCTAGGGACTGAGATACCCGGGTTTGAATTGCCACTCTGCCGTGGAAGCTCGCTGGGTGACCCTGGGCCAGTCACACTCTCTCTGCTTAACCAACCTCCCAGGCTTGTTGTGAGGATAAAATGGAGGAGAGGAGAATGATGTAAGCCACTCTGGGTCCTCACCGGGGAGAAAGGTGGGGTCTAAACGAAGTACATCAATCGATAAGTATTGTAGGCCCAGAGGCCTTTCCTAGAGTAGCTGGCAACCTTGACTGTCTTGTGAGGAGAGTCAGCCGCTGGTCTCCCTCCACAGGTGCCTCCCGGGGGATTTCTCGGGCCTGAAGTCCTTCCTGAACTGCTCGGTGGCTCTCTGGGACTCTCATGGCCTGCCTCCCACCCATCCCGCCCAGTGGTCCTACGGGCAGTGCCCAGACGTGGACGAGTGCCGCTTGGGCCTAGCCAACTGCCATCCTTACGCCAGCTGCAAGAACACGCCAGATTCTTTTGAGTGTCACTGTAACCGAGGCTATGCGGGCGACGGCGTGGCCGACTGCAACCAGACGTGAGTAGGGGGAACGCCAAGATTGCTCCCCAATAGGAGGGCGTCACAAGCTCCTCAAGGAACTTTCACACGAGAGTCGTCCTTGAGGAGAGAAGACTTTTGAATGGCTAGTTGGACCGATATACCTGTCGTGGTTGTTAGTATAGCTTGTGCGTATGTGACGTATGATTGGAATGTGGGTTTTGACTATACACCAGGTCCCCACTTTGATACCCTCAGTCCTGGCAAAAAAGTTCAACTCTTTAGCATTTCAAACCTCCTCAATAAACTTTCCTTCAAGAAAGCCTGTGTGGAGAGTGATTTGACTGGGAGCCTGACAGGAGTCCGCCAGGACCCCCCCCAAAAAAAACCCCACCAAACCAAAAAAAACCATGAGCAACTTAAGTGTGCCAGAGAGCCAGAGAGCCAGTTTGGTGTAGTGGTTAAGTGCGCGGACTCTAATCTGGGAGAACCGGGTTTGATTCCCCACTCCTCCACTTGCACCTGTGGGCAAGCTGTAGTTCTGATAAGAGCTGTTCTTGAAAAAGAGCAGTTTCTGTCAGAGCTCTCTCAGCCCCACCCACCTCACAGGGTGTCTGTTGTGGGGAGGGGAAGGGAAAGGAGTTTGTAAGCCGCTCTGAGACACCTTTGGGTAGTGAAGGGCGGGGTATAAATCCAATCTCCTCCTCCTCCTCCTGGGCTTACTTTCTCCCGCTTTTTCACAAGAACCCAGGGAATCATTTACCAAACTGCTCAGTCTCTCCCTCTGCACCTGTTGACCTGGTCCCTCTTCACACTGTTAAATAACAAGACAATCTCTCAGAAGACAGAAAGTAGATGCACTCGCCTCTTCCTTCCAGGTCCCAGGGAGTCCAACACAAACAAATGCCAGTTCACCTGCGCATCCCCCTTCCCGGTGAGGGAACCAATTTTGGGGGGAATTAAGAGTCTAGGAGCTTTTCCTTGGAATATCATTCCCACCCCGCTTGACTGGATGGGGTGTGTGTGTTAAAACTGGCAGGAACCCCATAGTTTGAGAGGGGGGGGGGAGCCCTGTTCCAAAGTCAAAACTATCGAAAATGTAAACCCATAATGCAAAGGATTTTCGTAAGTCACCTGTGACTTGATGGCTATTTAACATAAGGACATAAGAACATAAGAGATGGAGGGGGGGGGGGAGCCCTGTTCCAAAGTCAAAACTATCGAAAATGTAAACCCATAATGCAAAGGATTTTCGTAAGTCACCTGTGACTTGATGGCTATTTAACATAAGGACATAAGAACATAAGAGACGCCAATGTTGGATCAGGCCAAAGGCCCATCCAGTCCAACACTCTGTATCACACAATGGCCAGAAATACCAGTGCCATCAGGAGGTCCACCAGTGGGGCCAGGACACTAGAAGCCCTCCCACTGTTGACCCCCCCCCCAAGCACCAAGAAGACAGAGCATCCCTTGCCCCAGAGCCCCTATCTATACATTGTGGCTAATAGCCACTGATGGACCTCTGCTCCAGATGCTTATCTAATTCCCTCTTGAAGCCGTCCCTGCTTGTAGCCGCCACCACTTCCTGTGGCAGTGAATTCCACGTGTTAATCACTCTTTGGGTGAAGAAGTACTTCCTTTTACCCATTCTAACCCGACTGCTCAGCAATTTCATGGAGTGCCCACGAGTTCTTGTATTGTGAGAAAGGGAGAAAAGTACCTCTTTCTTTACCTGCTCTTTCCCATGCATAATCTTATAAACCTCGATCATGTCACCCCTCAGTCGTCTCTTCTCCAAGCTAAAGAGCCCTAAGCGCTTTAACCTTTCCTCATAGGGAAAGTGTTCCAACCCTTTTATCATTCGAGTTGTCCTTTTCTGCACTTTTCCCAAAGCTATAATATCCTTTTTAAGGTGCGGTGAACAGAACTGCACACAGTATTCCGAATGAGGTCGCACCATTGATGAGGTCGCACCAGGGGCATTATGATATTGGCTGATCTGTTTTCAATACCCTTCCTAATAATCCCCAGCATAGCATTGGCCTTCTTTATTGCAGTCACACACTGTCTCGACATTTTCAGTGAGTTATCCACTACAACTCCAAGATCTCTCTCTTGCTCAGTCTCTGCCAGTTCAGACCCCATCAATGTGTATTTATATTTAGGATTTTTGGCTCCAATGTGCATCACCTTGCACTTGGCCACATTGAACCCCATTTGCCATGTTGACGCCCACTCACCCATCCTTGACAGATCCCCTTGGAGTGCCTCACAATCCTCACTGGTTTTCACCACCCCGAACAACTTTGTATCATCCGCAAATTTAGCCACTTCACTGCTTACTCCCATCTCCAAATCATTAATGAACAAGTTAAAAAGCAGTGGACCAAGTACTGATCCCTGCGGTACCCCACTGCTTACCACCCTCCACTGAGAAAATTGCCCACCTACACTCACTCTCTGTTTTCTATGAACTAGCCAGTTTTTGATCCATAAAAGAACTTGTCCTTCTATCCCATGATTTTTGAGCTTACTTAGGAGCCTTTGATGAGGAACTTTATCAAAAGCTTTCTGGAAGTCAAGGTAAATAATATCTATTGGATCCCCCTTGTCCACATGTTTGTTCACCCCCTCAAAGAACACTAACAGGTTAGTGAGACAAGATCTTCCCTTACAGAAACCGTGCTGAGTCTGCCTCAATAGGTTTTGTTCATCTATGTGCCTACTAATTCTTTCCTTAATAATGGTTTCCACCAATTTACCCGGTATCGACGTCAGACTGACTGGCCTGTAATTTCCCGGATCTCCTCTGGAACCCTTTTTAAAGATGGGAGTGACATTAGCTACCTTCCAATCCTCAGGAATGGAGGCAGATTTTAAGGAAAGATTACATATCTTTGTCAGGAGATCTACAAGTTCACATTTGAGTTCTTTCAGAACTCTCGGATGTATGCCATCTGGGCCTGGTGATTTTTCAGTTTTTAAGTTGTCTATCAGTTTTAGGACCTCCTCTCTCATCACCTCAATCTGACTCAGGTCTTCCAACACCCCTCCTGAAATCAGTGGTTCTGGAGTGGGCAAGCACTTCTCATCTTCCACAGTGAAGACGGAGGCAAAAAATGCATTTAGCTTCTCAGCCATTTCCCTATCATCCTTCAATACTCCTTTTACCCCTTGGTCGTCCAAGGGCCCCACTGCCTCCCTGGCTGGTTTCCTGTTTCTAATGTATTTGAAGAAAGTTTTATTGTTGGTTTTTACGTTTTTTGCTATATGCTCCTCATATTCCCTTTTTGCCTGCCTGACCTCAGACTTGCATTTTATTTGCCATAGCCTGTGTTCCGTTTTATCAGCCTCACTGTGACTAGCTTTCCACTGCTTAAAGGAATTCTTTTTACTTTTTACAGCCTCCATTACTCTGTTTGTTAACCATGCAGGCTTTTTCCTATACCTGTTTGTGCCTTTCCTAACCTGCGGAATATATATTTTTTGAGCTTCTAGGATCGTAGTTTTAAATAGATCCCAAGCTTCCCCAATTGTTTTGACCCTTTCTACTTTTCCTTTCAGTTTCCTCCCCACGTGTCCCCTCATATCAGAGAAATTACCCCTTTTAAAGTTAAAAATGGTTGTGTGAGTCTTTTTGGCCAATTCTCTATTTGTACAAATGATGAACTCAACAACATTATGATCACTGTTTCCAAGCGGTGCAATCACTTTTACATCTCTCACCAGGTCTTGAGTGTTACTTAGGACCAAATCAAGGATCGCCTCTCCCCTGGTAGGTTCCGTGACCATCTGCTCCATAGCACAGTCATTTAGAGTGTCTAGAAACTCAATCTCTTTTTCCCGACTAGAACACATATTGACCCAATCAATGTGTGGGTAGTTAAAATCACCTATTATTACACAGTGTTTTTGTCTAGTGAATCTTTCAACATATAGGCAACAAGGCTATTATGAGTGCATCTAAAATGCAATCGCAGCCAGAATCTAAAGGTGATGATCCACGCCTTTGTCTCCAGCCTTCTCTGATTAAGCTCCAAGCAAATGGCAGCGTAGGAGACGCACAAAGGCAACCCCAGAATTTTCCTCAGAAATTTGGATTGCAGTTGTTCAACTGCCTTGTTAAAGGCTGTAATCCAAATAGGGATACCATAGAGGAGCTTAGCAATAGTTTGGTGTACAAACACTTTAATAGCTGCTGGCACGTACTGATTGCCCTTAGTATAATAAAACCGCGTAAGTGCAAGCACACAGCAATTCGCCATTTTAATTGCCTCTGTTCTGTGTGTTGCCCAACTAAAATTGTGATGAAAATTCACTCCCAGGTATTTAAAGCTCTTGACCTGTATGATTGTTTCACCCCTTATATTCCAATTCCTAGGTTTCCAGGGTCCCCCAAAGGCCATAACTTTAGTTTTCCCAAAGTTCACTGAGAGTCCATTATGAGCACAATAATCCAGGAAGCTTACTAACAATTTTTTCATCCCTACTTCGGAGCGGGAAAGAATGACCGCATCATCAGCATATAAAAGCAAGGGGACAGTTTGTCCACCCAGAACTGGACAGTGACTATAGCCCAGAGAGTCTTCCAAACAAACAGACAAATCATTAAGAAACAAATTGAAAAGAAGCGGAGCCAAGATACAGCCCTGTTTAACCCCAATATTACTTATAATTTTGGGGGTTAAGATCCCTTCTCTAGAACCTCTGATTTGGCAAGTTGTACCGGTGTAGAGATTCCTAATCAAATATAACAGTCTTAGATCCATCCCTGCCTTCAATAGTTTCTTCCATAGGCGCTCTCTGGACACAGAGTCAAAGGCACCCTTCAGGTCAAGGAAGGTAGCAAAAAGCCTGCTTCCCTTCCCTTTACGGTATTTGTTCACTAAGTGGCTTAAGACTATACAATGGTCTAAGGTGGACTTCCCCTGACAAAAACCAGCTTGTTCACATCCCAATATTTGCTGTTCGGTGACCCAGGCGTTGAGCTTAATCGCAAGATGTCTTGCGTATAGTTTCCCTAACGTTGAAAGAAGACTAATCGGCCTATAGTTGCTAGGCAACTCAAAGTTACATTTTTTAAAAATTGGCACTACTACAGCATTCAACCACGCTTCAGGCATTACTCCTGATCTATCTATAGCGGTAAAGAGAGCTGCCAAAAAGGGAGCCCACCATTCTGGGCATGCTTTAATAGCTTCAGGGGGGATTGCATCCGGGCCCGGGGCCTTCCCTGACTTAATTTGCGCTATTAAGGAGTCTCGTGAGCAAAACTTCTACTTTGTGAGCGACTGGCATTGAAGGTGTGAGCGAGCGATTTTTGGCAACTGCATAAATGAGTCTGCTCTGGAATCCTCCTCCCTGAGCTAAGGCGAAAATGTGTTGAGCCAGAGGCTAAAAAGCTGTGACCTGGCTCACACTAACTCAGCTTAGAGGGAACACTGCTTCCTTCCCTTTCGCATGCCTGCGTCTCTGACACCGTTTCTTTCTCCCTTGGCACACAGACTGGACTCACGGTGAACGCTGCCACCTTTGCCGGCCGGGCAGCTACGGGAACGCGACGCACCAGGGGGGCTGCCAGGAGTGTGCTTGCAACGGGCACGGCCTGGAGGAGATGGGCTTCTGCCACAGGGCCACGGGGGTCTGTTACTGCGCCCCTCCCACCGAGGGGCTGCACTGTGAGCGCTGCGCCCCAGGATACTACGGGGACCCCAGGTGAGAGAAACCCGGCTGCTCTCGCTGGCCTGACGTAGCCCTGGATTTCTGTATGGTGTGGATCAGGGGCAGAGCGTCTGCTTGGCATGCAGAAGGTCCCAGGTTCAATCCCCGGCATCTCCAGTTAAAAGGACCAGGCAGGAGGGGATGGGAAAGACCTCTGCCTGAGACCCTGGAGAGCCATGAAGGGGGGTTGTGGCTCAGTGGAAGAGCCTCTGCTTGGCATGCAGAAGGTCCCAGGTTCAATCCCCGGCATCTCCAGTTAAAAGGACCAGGCAGGAGGGGATGGGAAAGACCTTTGCCTGAGACCCTGGAGAGCCATGAAGTGGGGCTGTGGCTCAGTGGCAGAGCCTCTGCTTGGCATGCAGAAGGTCCCAGGTTCAATCCCCGGCATCTCCAGTTAAAAGGATCAGAGATAGAGCATCTGTTTGGCATGCAAAAGGTCCCAGGTTGAATCCCCGGCATCTCCAGGTAAAAGGACCGGCCAGGAGGTGATGGGAAAGACCTCTGCCTGAGACCCTGGAGAGCCACTGCCTTTCTGAGTAGATAAGACTGACCTTGATGGATCAGTGTTCCGATTCAGTATAAGGCAGCTTCGTGTGTGTGTCTCCCTGTAGCTCTGAAGTCTTTTGGAATGTGAGGGGGATCCCTGATTTCTAAATGAACACGGGGTTTAGCCTGGCTAGCTAAATGGAGCCTCCATAGTCAGAGGCAGTATACCTCTTAAGAGCAGGTGCCAGGGACAAACTCTCAGAACGGCCCCCTGATCCATGCCTGTCTTGTGAGATACTAGCGGCCTTTGGCCACCTGATGTTGGTTTGGTCAGTCGGACAGTTCCATTCTTACTCTCTGCAAACTGCTGTCCCACCCACCGTCTGTCCCACCCACCCACCTTTAGCTTTTGAATGCAGTCATGCACTTCGGGGTGCCTTCCCCAAATCCTACGAATCCCCCAATCTTCCTCAGAGCTTTTTTCTTGGGGGGAAAAATACCCACAGCTGTCCCTGAAGGGAGAGGAGAGGAGGGACTCCAGAAATTGTGGTGTGTCTCGCTGTGTCCCTCACCGCAGAGCGATTTGCCTCTGATTAGGCTAGAGTCGTGCACAGCTCTCGACACGGGGCTGCTGCAGAAAACGGCATCCCCGAGTTGACTTCTCTCCCCCACCGCTGCCATGTTCACGATCACCTGTCACGATGCCGTCACGTGGCCTTCCCACCCCTCATGGGCTGCCACTGACGTAGGCGCGGGGGCCCAAAATATGACAACACAGCATCACGCTGACTAGAACAGTGCGTTGCCCTCGATGCGGAGCGGCCGCTAAAAACGGCGTCCCCGAGTTGAGTTCTCTCCCCCGCTAGTATCACATTTAGTATAGTGTGTACCGAGTCACGATGTCATCGCATTACCTTCCTGCCCATTGGCTGCCACTGATGTAGGTACGGAAGCCCAGACTATGATGACATACCAGCATGGTAGCAAAAAAAACCCCCAGTGCTCGAGAGGATGGTGTTTTCAGGGGCTTCAGGTTTCAGGTCCTCTTGCAAAAGCAGAATAAACAGGAAATCTGCACATGGCTTCATACAGGTTGTAAAGGTAAAGGTTCCCTTGCTCGAAAGCCAGTCGAGTCCGACTCTAGGGTTGCGGTGCTCATCTCCGTTTCAAAGCCGAAGAGCCAGCGCTGTCCGAAGACGTTTCCGTGGTCATGTGGCCAGCATGACTAAACACCAAGGCGCACGGAATGCTGTTCCCTTCCCACCGAAGTGGTACCTATTTATCTACTTCCAATGTCTTGCTTTCGAACGGCTAGGTTGGCAGGAGCTGGAACTAGAGACAGGAGCTCACTCCGTTATGCGGCACCCGGGTCTCGAACTGCTGAACTACCGACCTTCCATAGCCTGCAGTTCAGCGTCTTAACCACTTGAGCCACCGCAGCTCCTATACGGGTTTCAATCTGCTGTTGTAGGGCTGAGCTTTTCTCAGTGCAGACTCCAGGGTCGCTTTGCACGGGATTTTGATTGCGCCTGGGAAAGACTCAAGGGCCTTTCCCGGATAGGTTTTGTCCCTGTGGGCTAAAGGAGATTGAAGGAACGGACCATGTACTTCTGACTTGTAGATTTTACCTCAGGCTTATCACCTCGGCCCTATATTGCAAACCCTGGAGGGCAAATCTGAGGAAAGTAAGATAACAACCTTCTAGCCTCAAACAGGGCTGACACCATCGAAGAGGTGGCAAACTTCCTTTACAGAGCGTATAGGAGGAGAAGTTATTTTTTGGCAGAAGGGGTAGTGAATTAACTGTTTTGCGTGCCTACCGCCTCTGTACCTAAGGCTGCTGCTCTTGTTATGCCAGTAAAGGTTTGTTGTGTGTGACTCAAGGGCCACGTCTGTATCATGCCTGACTTGGCTCCCCTGTGGATTTTGCTTCCCCAGAAACAAGGGCATCTGCTACCAGGAGTGCACGGGACGCACCCTGCTCACCAACCTCTCTTCTTCGTCTTCGCTGAGCTCTCAGCGGGCCGGGGGACCCCCGCCAGGCGGGCTTTCCTACTGCGTCTGGGTGCTGTCGTCCAACGAAGGCATGGTGCCCTGTCGTCCGGAGCAGACCTGCCCGACCATCACTCTCACTATCCAGCCCGACACCCTCTGCATGGTGAGCGCAGGGGAAGGAAGCAGGGGTGGGGGGGACACCGGCCGACCAAGGGGGCGGTTCTGGGCATTGTTCCCTCTAAGCTGAGTCAGTGTGAGCCAGCTCACAGTTTTTTAGCCTCCGGCTCACACACCTCAAGGCTAGACTACTGTAACGCTCTCTACATGGGGCTGCCTTTGTCGCAAGTCCGGAAGCTACAGCTACAGCTAATGCAGAATGCTGCAGCCAGGCTGTTGATGGGTCTCTCGATGAGGGACCACATTCGGCCTGTGCTGAAAGCGTTGCACTGGCTGCCGATAACGTACCGGATTCGCTTCAAAGTGCTGGTTTTGACCTTTAAAGCCCTTTATGGCCAGGGTCCAGCCTACCTTTCTCCATATGTTCCCCCAAGGGCACTACGGTCGGGGGGGGGGGCGTCATCTCCTGGAAATTCCAGGCCGGAGAGATGTTAAATTTGCGGTGACCAGGACCAGGGCATTTTCGGTGGCGGCTCCTACCTGGTGGAAGGAGCTCCCAGAAGAGATCTTGTTAGCCGCCCCGAGCCTTCGAGGTAGGGCAGGATATAAATTCAAATATAAATAAAAATAAAATGAATTTTTGTCTCGGCTCAGGAAGGAGGGCTCCAGAGCCAACTAAGTTATGCAGCCGCCAAATCGCTCGGTCACAGCTTCAATGCCAGCGGCTCACAAAGTGGGATTTTTTGCTCGCGAGACTCCACAGCTTAGAGGGGGCACTGGTTCTGGGTGGGCTGATAATATTGGTGGAAGGCGGAAGTTTGGCATGAATTGGTAACTTCTGGAATAAGCAGGAAGAGAGGAGTCACTTAATAATAATAATACTTTCCATTTATTAATCGCTTTCCCCAGTGGGCTCAAAGCGATGTACAGTTACTCATTATAAGGGACTAACAATGTTTGTAGGGGACAGGGAAGACAACATATATTCATTTTTAATTGCACACGCCGTCACTGCCCGGTATAGACGTCTTCTGGCTTGAGTGGTCACCCTTCTTAAAGATTGGCACGATAGTGCGCATGGGCTCTCCTCCCTGGCGTGGCATTTGACATTTTGTTTTTAAAAAGCGTTTCTGGTCCCGAGGCCCGTAGCTAACGTGGGGCCCACGGGGCCCAGCCTCCTCGTGTTTCTTCTGGGCCACCTCCCTCCCGGGCTGTCCCTGAAGTGCCTCAACCCGCCCCTCTGCACGCCACGCTGCCTCCACCCTGGCTGCCCGACAACTGAGCTCCTTGGGCACTCCAGAGAAGTGGAATCCTTCGTCCCCAGAGCTACCTTCCGACACTGCCCTCCCCTGTAAACTTGTTGTTCAGAGTAGCAGACTCCCAGACTTGTTGTATTTTAAACCTGACTCCATTCATTGGGATTTATAGTTCAGAAGTCGTTTCTATATATGGGAACGGATCTGATACTAAATTATTATGTTGTTATGTTATAACTCTCGATGTATGTTGAAAACTTTGTGGGTGATTAACTGGCTGGTTTGTAATTTTGGACTCTCAGGACTTTTGTATACTGTTTTGCACAGGGCTTTTTTTGGTAGAAAAAGCCCAGCAGGAACTCATTAGCATAACAGGCCACACCCAACAGCAGAAACTCATTACCATATTAAGCCAAACCCCTGACAGCACAGCACATTAGCATATTAGGCCACACCCCATGCCTTCCCTTGGCTTGCCCGGGTGCCCCAGAGCTGTGGGGAGCCCGGGCAAGACCCCCCCCCTTGAAGGAAAGGGAAGGGCAAGCTGGCCCTTGGACAGGCTGGGGAAGGCACAGGGAGGCATTTAAACGCCTCCCTGATCCTTCCAGGCCCACCCGCCTCGGAGCTAATGTGGGGCCCGCGGGGCCCGGCCTCCTCACATTTCTTCTGGGCCACCTCCCTCCCAGGCTGTCCCCGAAGTGCCTCAACTCACCATCTGCGCGCCACGCTGCCTCCAACCTGGCTGCCCAACAACTGAGCTCCTTGGGCACTCCAGAGAAGTGGAATCCTTCGTCCCCAGAGCTACCTTCCGACACTCCCCTCCCCTTTAAACTCAGCCCAATCACCACCAGCTCCTGCCGGCTTCTCTTCTTCACCATCCACCCTCTCTTAACCACAGGACCGGTCTCTGTATTCCGGCCTGCGTGCACCTGATTTAAAAACTGAACAAGCCCTGCAGGAGTTTTTCTAAGGGAGCTGTGGAGAGCACCCGCCGGAGGCGCCGAGGGGCAGCCCTTTACCTGCACTCTGAGCCGCCCCCACGGCATGCACTCCCTCCCGGCTTCCGTGACCTTCGTGACTGTAGGCGACGCGCCGGGCGGGGACGGGGTAGTGGAGGAGGACCCCCGCCGCCGCTCCCACCACCTCCCTC